GTAACACTCCAAAGAGAAAGGAAAGCTTGAAATCGCATCATATGATCCCTTTAAAATAAAATATATTACATTTCCAGCAAAAAAAATAGAAAAATATATATATAAACAAAACTATACACATTGTGATTTAATACTATAAGATAACTTATTACAATGAGTTATGAAATTATAATAAAATTATGTTATGAACTGATTATATGGTGCAAGAAAAACTGTTGAAATTATCATGTTACAAACAAAAATAGAATTTTCAGATTTTATATCCAGATTTATCTTAAAGTGATCTTTGAAGTGACTTCGGTGTCATATGCAAAGTGTACAAGCACTGAACCATTTAAAGATCCTCACCACACAGCTGAAGCCAGGAGGATGTGACTGTTGTTATGGAAATAGTCAATGGGAGACACACCAAGCATGATGTCTGCTAGTATGTAGCTTCCAAAGCAGTAGAGCATTGCACAAAGCCATGAGGCCACTGGGCTTTTACGGGACACTTCCACAGCACCTGATTAACACAGACCAACACAGAACACCTTCACTTTAAACACTTAACCTTTGCATGTATACATTTAATAATACACAACAAGTTCCAAAAATCTGAATGTCCCATGATTATAATTTAAAATGGGAAATTCAGTTCTTGCAACACAAAAAGAGAAACTTCATAAAAGTGGTCCTCATGACTTGTTTACCAAGCTTCGTGTGAACAGACCACAGTTTACATCGTTATTTACTGAAAATATTCCTCTCCACTGAGCAGTTAACTAAACCTAAAAATCGGATGAAATATTGAAATATTTAATTGAAAAGACTTGACTGATCATTTGACCACAACTTTTCTAATGTACGCTTATTATACTTTTTTTGAGGGTGGGGAGAAAAAAAAACGGCAGCTGTAGTTTCCAGAATTTGACATTTACATTAATTCATACCACATTTTACTATTAAAATACGGTACTAACATTTTACGTTTTCAGATTGAACTTTATAATATACTGACAACCACCTTTAAAAACCCAGTGAAGAGACAGCCACATGAGGAATCGAAGTTCATCACAAGTTTTTCTACAAGCTGAGGTAAATACTAATAAAGGAAATGCACACTGTGTCATACAGTAACACAAATCACCATTACAGTAACACACGACACTAAAATAATTCAATGAACATTAACAACATAAAAATGTAACATAACCCTAATGTACGTAACAGATAAGACATTAGAATTCTGGGAATTTTTTTTACTGTAAATGACAAGAGAACTATACAAAGCAGTACATTTAACAGTATTTTACTGTAAAATTACATGAAACGCCCCATTAGATCAGTTTTTCACAATATATACAGTAGTAAGGGAATATGCCATTAAATTAAGTTTTACAGTAGCATTTACTTTTACCATTAAAATTGTATATATATGTACACACATACATGCATACATACAGACACGCACACACATTGTTTTACAGTGAACATCAAAAACACTCTCTAAAGCAGTGTTAGGAGGACCACATGATTTCTGACTCCACTAAGAGATGTTGTATATCTAGAGGTCCACAAATCTCCAGGGATGAACACATCTTACAGAACAGGTGTAGCTTGG